TGACTGAGAAAGTGTAATGGCGCGAGCAGCTCTGTCCCTGGTGATCTGCAAGCCAAGGTAAAGGCACGGCTCACCCAGGTCAATGCACGCATGTTTCTTCTGTAGCTCAGATTTTACCTTAGCTTGAGGGACCTTGTATGGTGTAGACAAGAACAAAGAACGAAGTGGAACCGGTGTGAACAAACAGAGATGGGTCAGCGGACGAAGGACGAAACCCAAGGTCAGCAAGGGTGGTGCGTCGCTTGTCGTGCCATCTACGGTGCGCCTGGCGGAGACCGTAGACTAGCCGCCTCAGACTCCAATGGGTCCAAGAAATAAGGGGCATGACGACCGCAACCGATGGCCTGCCTCAATAAGGCCTAGCTGCAGATGGAACCTCGATAGCATTTGCTCGTTTTTGCTATAATCATGCCTTCGCTCACATTTGCATTTGTTCGCCACCTTAGTGCAATCCTAGCTACCTCAATACATTTCACTTTACTCTTTTCAATTATTACTTTTGAGTTACCGTACTTGTTATTAACTGTAAGGAATTTTCTCGACATTCCTTACAGAGACCTGCAACACCGCGTACAGCAGCAGCCGTTGTTCGCCCACCCATTACTGCTAACGGTGCTTCGCCAACTTCGCGCTCACTGTTTCACCAAACCACACACTGCTTGCCCGGCCGTATCGGCAGGGCCCTATATATCAGACTTTTTTGTCTAGTTCTGAGTCCGTTCGGACTTTTTTTTTTTACCTAGTCTGAACTCCAATATATATGTATACATAGTTTTTAATGTGCCTTGTCTGACTTTTCTGAGTTTTTTTATACGAGTTGTCTGAAATGTTTGGTGTGTAGGCTGGGCCTCAGACTTGTATCACGGATGCACTCTTAAACCGGTAATAGAGGGGTTCCCTCCAGCCTGGCGGCGTGTACCACTAACACAGTCAATCACGGGCGGGAACCCAAAATATCCCGAGCGCGGCACCGCACAGTCGCGTTGGTACAGAATTGCGGTAATCAGTGCCAATTCCAACCAATCGCGGCTGCGCAGCATGCAGCAGGCAAGATTCCTTGCCAACGCATAGCTCGTAGCGCGCTGCACCTTCGCTCGACACCACATCCATCCACCACAACCCACCTTCCTCGTTTCCAACGCATAGCTTGCAGGGCACTGCTACTCTGACGTCACCACATCCATCCACCCCAGCCCACCGTCCTCGTTGCCAACGCATAGCTCGCAGCGCGCTGCTACTCTCACGTGATCACATCCATCCACCCCACCTTCCGTGCTTTCAAGACCAGGTGCCGTGCATGCAGTGACCTCTTGGGAGATGAGAGGTCCTAATAGGATGACCTCTCAACCTCCTCGTGGTCACCGTTCTTGCGAGTCTCTCTCGCTTCACTCCATTTGCCTCGCCTAATACTCGTGCCAGAGCCCTTGTTTCAGGCTCCTGTTACCGAGTTGGCTACACCACTACTCGCACAGACTCAATGGCAGCCACAGCAGACGCTGCCACCAATGGGCCCGACAATGACGATGATGCTGATGTTCGCCCGGTTTCCAACCCTCTCACCGGCCTAGACTTCCTTTGATCAGTCTTACCGACGCATGGTCCACCGCCTGCGCCACCGTCGCAACCCAACTCCAGTCGCCCTTCAAATCCCAGGGACTCTGCACCTCTACACAAGGCCGTCACTGAACCAGTGGTCGCTGCGCAACAGACGGTGCCCCATGAGGCGTCCGTCGAAGCATCGTCCCGTCCCGCGCCACCGACGAATATGCGGTACCGACAATCCTCCATTGCGTGGGCAACTCCACCTCCTCCTTCGACCGTTGAAACTCCAGCGAGCAACGCTCCCATGCAGTACAGCTCCAAGCCCAGCTTAGAGTTGAAATATGAAGAAGCTCATCAGCGCTTCAAGTCTAAGTGGTCTACCGATTACTCATGGTCAGTTCTTACTAAATCATCTTCTGGTGCCCCTTCTTTTAGGTGCAGTATTTGCTTGGAGATTGCGGGATTGACAGGCAAGTGTGGACAGCGTGGTGAGGGCGCGACCGACGTGCAGACATAGTCCTTTCAGAAGCATGAAGGGACGATGAATCACCGATTTGCTCTGCAGCGGCAGGAGGATCTGCTGCAGAAGAATGAGTGGCAGCAGCGCATTGACATGCAGCCGAAGGCGCAGGACAAGAAGTTGTTGCAGGTTTCGTCGCTCATGGACTCACTGTACTTCATGGGGAAATGCAATGAGCCCATGAACTCGTGGATCCGGTTTGTGCACTATCTGGCGAAGAAGGTGCCCGAGTTTCCCGAGCAGGGGTACGGCACGTACTACAGTACGTAAGTAACGTCGTGCTTAAGCACCGTGTATTTCCTTTTCACTCATTGACCGTTGCTGAAGACTATGGGTTCTTTGTGTAGGTACGGCTTCAGAGAACTCACTCAGGCAAATGCAATGTGGCTTCGAACAACGCAACTGGAACACCTTCTAACGAGCCCCTACATCGGGATCACTCTGGATGAGAGCACCGACCGGCTGTGCGGCAAACACATTATTGCGTTTGCCACCTTTCTTCATGAAGGACAAGTTGTCACTGAGTTCATCGCTCACCTTACGATTGAGAATGCTGACGCTGCTTCATTGTGTAGTTTGTTGCTTTCCTGCCACATGGCAGTCGGCGTTGATCTCCGTTGTATTTCGGGTGTGAGCACGGATGGTGCCTCGGTGATGGTGGGGTCACAAAATGGTGTGGTTGCCCGTCTTCGGATGCTGATCCCCAACCTGGTTTGCAGGTTTGGTAGCGGTGCGTTTCTGCTTATGCATTAGATTATAAACGTCGGACTCGGTTGTTTATATTCTAACCGTCTTTGCTATTATGGTTTGCAGGGAGGCGTTGGCTGCAAAAGCCGCAGCAGAGGCGATTCCAACCTTCAACATGGTTGACAACGTGATTCGCGCCATCGCAGAGTACCTCGGGTGATCGTCACCGTGGCATCAGCGGTTCATGGTGCTGCAGGAGGTGTTCACGTCCACAAATCTCGAGGTGCAAGGAATAAACGCCGTCCGGTGGCTTTCTCGAGGCGCTTCAGTTGCCCGCTTTGTCCAAGTCCTTCCCTCCATCATGGTGATGTCGTCGGAGTGGAATGACCAGACCATGTACGAGCTTGTGACGTCGTACAGATTCCAGTTCCTGATCAGGTTCCTTGCGGACCTTCTGGAGCAGCTCAACATCCTCTCGTCGATATTCCAGAAGCGGGACATTAGTATCTCGAATGTTTTGCTTGTCTTGTTTCCAACACTAATCCCCGTGTACTGAATTTTTTTTAACGTATGTGTTGCAGCTCAACTACGCGTTGGTGCACACACAACCTCACTCTTGGAGAGCCGCTACATCGACTGTGGGGATGACTGGGGAGGGGGGGGTGGCAACGAGAGGCTGTTCCGCTTCATTGAGAAGCATGGTCCGACGGGGTCACCTAAAATGGTGGTTGAAGGAGCATAGTCGGACGGCAGCCTCAACCGCTTCAAGATTACCCTACACAAGCGCACCGACCGGAACTATCGTGGGCCGGGTCATCACGACGCCTGCGTGGCGCTCTGCACCAACATGGCCGAGCTCGTCGTTGAGAACCTCCAGTCAAAGCTAGGCGACCTTGACTCTCTTTCCGGAGTGAGGCTGTTCATTCCGAACGGATGGCAACCGAACTGGGAGCGCAGATGATTCCAAGGAGATCCTACCAGGTCAGTTTATGTGTTGCCCCGTTCCCCATTAGAAAGCGCATCGTTTACTAAACCCGTGTCTTGTCGTACCTTGCAGGCATTGACAAGAAGCGTGTGTTTAAGAAGCTGCGGACTCTGTGTCCAGTCCTTGCCAGGGCGCGAAAGAGCAAGCGAAAGTTCCACACGGGACTTATTGCAATTCTCAAGACACCCGACTGGCAGCAAGCGTACCCCAACCTAGTCGGACTTTGGGTGGTGATTGCAGTGTTGCCTCTCAGCACTGTCGAGTGTGAGCGAGGGTTCTCTCGTCAGAATCTCATCAAAACATGGCAGCGCGGCTGTATAAAGGATTGTAGGCTGAGTGATCTTCTTTGTATTTCAGTGCTACACTATGAGATAGACATCCATGGAGTGGTAAACATTTACAAGAAACGCCGGTCAGTCACAGCACCTGCTGCAAGACACAGGGAGGAGCCCCCGAGGGCTGGGAAGGAGCCTGTAGATGAGCCAGTAGTAGTACATCGTGCTCTTGTAGAATCTATGTTGCACTCGAATTGAGATATGTAGATTTTATTGGTGCCTTTTGATATCAGAGTAAAATTTGGGTGTTAGTGTGTAACATCAGCGTAGAATCGATTGTGTAGTCTGAACTATCATACTAGAAATTGGAGTAAACTCTTACACCCGGAGTAACAAGAGGGGTGCACTCTGATCGATCAGAGTGCTCCAAAACGAATCTAGGGGCCTGCGTTTCGGCCTATGCTTCGGGACTAGCCCGAACCTCGCTGCCAGCGTAGCACTAGCTAGCTCGCACGCAATGCGTAACCTTTTGCATGTTTCGCGTACCGGTATAAATGTTAGCTCACAATTTGTACTCGTTTGACACCTTAGTGCAATCCTCACCTTTTTACCGCCTGCACTAGCTCCTACAATTCATCCATCTGCTGGTCGGACTAGCAGTCTGTCGATTCTGCCAGCACCCCAGCTGAGCCTGTTTGCAGATGCAATCACTTACGGCGCATCCGCGTTCCAGGATACCTGTAGTTCGTTAGGCGACGCTCTCTTCCAGCCGAACAAGGCCCTGATTTACAGATTCGTGGTTCGTGCAGCGCTGTTCCAAATCTGATGTAGTCGCGATCTTTAGTTTAGCCCTCCACCCTCCTCATCTCGTGTGCCTCGGATGGCTGTCACTGCCGCCTCCCCGCCGATGGCCGTCTCTACCGCCTCTGCCGCGCTGACCCACGCGGAACCGAACTCGGCGGAGGCTGAAGCCTTGCGCCAGATCGGCGCAATGAAGGTGCTGCTAGCGCGCGCGGATGAAGCGATAAGATCTATCGCCGCCTGCGGCATCCGCGGGGGGCCGACTCGCGCGCAGCTCCCCGCGCTGACGGCGGGCGCGCAGAACGCGCTGGCGGCGCTTGGGGGCGTCGAGCGGGAGTTGCGGTCACTGGCGGAAGAGATGGCGGAGGGCAACGAGTGCGCGGTTGGGTCCCGCGAGGAGGGCGGCGACGGTGGAAGCGGAAGCTCCGCGCAGAGGTAGTAGGCGGGGAACGAACGAGATCGGTGAGGGCGATTGGGTGGAGTGAAGGGGAGGGGATGACGGGGATGACGGGGATGACGGGGATGACGGGGAGGGAGGGGAGGGAAGGGAGGGAAGGGGGTACAGATGTTGCGGGTTTTGGGGCTTGGTGGGAGATGGGGGAGCGGGGGGAGCGAGAGGGGCAGTGGAGCGATGGCGGGCAAAGGCACCCCCCCCCTCCCGCTATCCCTCCATCTCACCCTAACCCCCCAAACCCCTCCCCCTCCCCTCCCCCTTCCCCTCTCCCTCCCCCTCCCCCTCCCCCTCCCTCACCCCCTCCCCTTTCCCCCTCACTCTCCCCTTCCACCTCCCCTCCCCCTCCCTCTCCCCCTCCCCCTCCCCCTCCCCCTCCCCCTCCCCCTCCCCTTCCGCAACCGGAGTAACCCAGTGAGGATCTTATTCCCGTGTCCTCCCTCAACATCCCCCCTGCCGTTTCTGTGTCGTTTCATTCCCTCGTTCCCCCCTCCCTCCCCCTTTCCATTCCCCCTTCCAACGCCCCTCCTCCCCACAGAGTCCCCGTGTGGCAGCAGGTGCAGGTGGCCCTGCAGCAGTTGCACCACGCGCACCCAGGGTAACATGCTTCTCCCGGCCTCCCTCCCTCCCTCCCTCCCACCCTCCTGTTTTCCATCCCCTTCCATCCTTCCCTGGCCCTGATTTCAACTTTCTTGCCCTGTTCGTGCGTCGCTCTCATGCTCTTCTCCTCTCTTCGCTTCTTATCTCCGTCTCTCTGTCTTCGTCGCTCCGCCTCGCTCTCTTTCTCGCCCCACCACAGACTCACTCTCTGCCATTCCCCACACTCCTTCTGCCACGCAATCTCTCTGCCTTGCCATTAACCCCTCCCCACCGCACCTCTGCCCCTCTAAACCCTCATATCTCCGTTTGTTCTCCTACCAGACTGCGGCAGCGGTTGCGCCAGGCCACCATGACAGCTCAGCAGAACCTCATGCGGCAAGCACACAAGGAGGTGAGGCCTGGTACCATGAGTGTGGTGTGCGAGGGGGGGGGGGGAGGGAGGGGGGGTTTGCAGGGAGGGGGGGTTGGCTGGTAGCAAGTCGGGAGTTGGAGCCTAATTGCACGAGAGACGGGGGGATTAGTTGTACGAGGGAGGGTGGGAGTTGGGAATCCTGAGTTGCTACGGCTGTCCCCACTTTGCTATAACCGCCGCTCCATCCCGCCGGTCCTTTAAACGAATTGCTCATCTCGTTGGCGGAGGCGGGGAGGCAGGGGTGGGTGGGATGCGAGTGAGTGAGAGTGTGAGCAGCAAGTGGAAGATAGCCACCATGGCATAGAAGAACTTGTGAGGAAAGTGGGCGTAGGAGGAGATTGGGGATCGTATTAGTGGTGTTTGGGTCAGGTATGGCAGGATGGCTGCACAGATCGAGTCCTCTGGCCGCTATGGGTGTGTGTGTGCCACTAGCTGCAAATCACTCCTCGCGGCACATCAGCCCTTCATTCTGCTTTGTGGGATGGGTGCCTGTGTGTGTGTGTGTGTGTGTGTGTGTGTGTGTGTGTGTGTGTGTGTGTGTGTGTGTGTGTGTGTGTGTGTGTGTGTGTGTGTGTGTGTGTGTGCAAGCTCATGTATGTTATTCCGGGATGTGAAGGCGAATGAGAAGGCTGGCTGTGTGCTGGAGGCGTTTGTTTAAATGTGCACTGGACACGAATGCATGTGCTGTTCCTACGTTCCGGTGTGCATGTGTCAACGTATCGTCCTCTTGTCCATGTGTGCATGTGCACGTGTGGGAACAGAGAGAGGAGCTGCTAGGGGCAGGATGCGAGGCGTCGTTGCGGCGAAGAAAACTAGAGTGTGTACCCTCTCATACCCTCTCATACCCTCTCACAACTTCCCATTCCCTCTCATACCCTCTCATGCATACTCTTTCATGCCGAATTATACCCTCTCATACACCTTCATACCCTCTCATCCCCCCATACCCTTTCATACCCCCTCATACCCTCTCATACCTTCTCATGCTCTCTCATGATTTCTCATACTCTGCCCATCATACCCTCTCCTACACTCTCCTTCCTTCTCATTCACTCTCAATTTCTCTAATTACCAGCATGTCTCACATGTGCGTGACGGTGTCGCTTCCTCTCTATTGATCTCGAGATCTCTGAAACATGCAGTCTTGTGTGCTTCATTTGCTGCCGTTCATGCTTGCATCATGCGTCTTGTGCCATGTGTGTTTTTTCTGCTTGTGCTTTTAATTCATGCGTTTTCACTATATGTTGTTGTATCCTATGTGCTTGGATCACATGTACTTGTTTTCCTTGTGCTTTTATTGGATGTGCTTGTACTGCATGTGCTTGTATCAGATCAGCAGCACAGATGGCAGCTGCAGCTGAGGAGGTCACTTCCACGCTCCGACGAACACGGCACGTCATGGAACAGGTGGGATGATGACGTGGCGTGGAACAGGTGGGATGATATCATGATGATATAGCAGGAGGATCGTGTAGGATGAATGACATGGCATGGAATAGGTGGGATGATGACATGACATGGGATGGAATTGCTTGTTGCTGTGGATGAACTGGAATTTTCTTCATCCCATGCATTTCTTCCTGCACTCTCTCCCTTCCTGCATCACCACTTTATCCGTTGCTGTGTTTTCCTGGCTTCTCTATACTATGATTTCACCTTGGCATGGCATGGCATGGCATGGCATGGCATGGCATGGCATGGCATGGCATGGCATGGCATGGCATGGCATGGCATGGCAGGAGGTGCAACGTGGCGTGCACACATTGGAGGAACTCGGTGAGTTGATGCTGTTTTGATGCCAGGGCATTGGGCATTGGGCATTGGGCATTGGGCACTGGGCACTGGGCATTGGGCATTGGGCATTGGGCACTGGGCATTGGGCTCTGGGCACTGGGCACTAGGCACCCTTTTGTCCACACATGCTCATGCATCACCCTTTCGTCCACACATGCTCATGCATCACCCTTTTGTCCACACATGCTCATGCGTCACCCTTTCGTCCACACATGCTCATGCATCTCTCCATCGCACACCCCCGTGCTTGTGTGAAGTCGCTTCTGCCTGGTTTTTTGTCGGTCCTCCGGTCTAGAGTAAACCCTCAACACACTGCCTAGCTTCCTCCCCTAGCCCTGCTTTCATTCAAGCCATGCCACTGCTCTGATCTCCTCAGCACCACACAGCACTCCATCCAACGTCTCCTCCTCATTTCAATGCACGTCCTTCCTCCCTTCTCTCTCTCTCCTCTCTGACCCTATTGTCCAAACCAGACACGTCAGCGGCAGTGCTGACATCAGCAGCATCTCAGTACTCCCTGCAGCACTCGCGGCTCTCCACGGCCCACCAGCTGCTGGCACTGCTGCAGCGAGGGGACGTGACGGACAGGTGAGTGGGGGAGCGAGTGGTGTTGTGGGGAGTGGATGGAGAGGGGTGCAAAGGAGTGTAGAGGAGAGTGGTGGGTGGGCTGCAGTACCCCCTGCCCCTGCTCTCCTGCCTCTCCACGTCTTACCAGTTGCTGAAGCTGCTGCAGCGAGGGACGTGGCAGACACATGAGGGGGGTGTTGAGGGAGGTAAACGCAGGGTAATAGTGGGGAAATGAGTGAGAGGTGACGGAGAGGTGAGGGGGAGAGTAGAGAGGGTTTGGGAGAAGTTGAAGAGGCGCACATAGGGGTATAGGAGAGAGTGATGGCCGGGTTACAGTCCATAGACACTCTCGGCTCAGCTTTCTGCCTCCCACCAGCTGCTGGCGCTGCTTTGGCGAGGGGACGTGGCGGCGGGCAGGTGAGAGGGAGAGGGGGATTGGGGGAGATAGGCATGCAGTAGTATAAGTGGGTGGGCCAGTTAGTTTGTGTGGGTTGGTGGGCTTGGATGGGTGGCTGGGTTTGATTGGGTACCTGGGTTTAGATCGGTGGCTGGGTGGGTCTGGTTGGCTCTGTGACAGGCAGGGGAAGCGATGAGAGCATGCCAATACTTTCCACATGCTGGCTTATGATATGCTTCTTCTCATTCCAAGTGGCTGACTTATTGCAGACTCATTTTTATCCCCCCTGCCGCTTCATCATCTGTTCCCACGTGTGGGAGCACTACTTGCCTCTCCTGTGCCGCTCTTGCATCTTTGTGCCATTGGTCCTCCTGAACTTCACACCTTCGCCTTCATCATCTCCCTATGGTTTGCTTTGTTCTCATGATTCTTCCTCTCCGCTGTCCCCTTCCCATATGCTGCCCCATGAGAGCCAACATCATCCTGCAGTCTCTCTTCTTCTCGCCCGTCTGCCCATTCGGGCCTCCCCTTTCTACTATCCTTCCGCCCTTCTTTTCTCCTGCGCCCACCAGGCTAATCATCATCCTCGGGTCTCTCTTCTTCATCACCATCTCTCCTCCTTTGCTTTTCCCAACCCACCCCCCTCCTTTTCTTAAAATTTCCCCCTCCCCACTGTGCTGCCCCCACCAGGCTCATCATCATCGTCGGCTCTCTCTTCTTCTTCCTCGTCTGCTCCTTCATCGTCGTCTCGCGCGTTCCCCTCCTCAACTCCCTCCTCCTCTCCTCCACTTCCCTCCTCCTCTCCACCACTCACTCGGTCCTCTCCCCCATACTCTCTCTCGTCTCATCCCTCCTCACACCTCTCGCATCCTCCTTCCTTCCCACCCTCGCGTCTCTCTCCTCTTCCTCTCTTGCCCTCGCATCCTCCTCCCTCTCCTCCCTCCACCACACACTCCAACCCCTCCTCTCGCCCCCACTGCCTCCCCTGCCTCCTCTCCCTCTGTCCGCGCCTTCTCCCATGCCCTCACCCTTTCCCCCTTCCTCCCCCTCCCCACCCATCACGACCACCACTATTCCCTCCTCTTCGTCCCCCTCATCTTTCCCCTCTCCTTCTCCCTCCTCCGCCTCCTCTCTCCCTTCTCTAAAACCATCTCAACCGCACACGTCTTCTGAGGCGCCCCACACATCAACCCAGCCACAGCTACAACAACAGTCGGATGAAGAAAAGTTTGTTGCGCCAACAGAGTCGCTGTCGCTAGAAATGGAGGAGGAAAGAGTGCAGCGAGCAAGGGAAGAGGGGCACGCAGATGGTGATAGAGAAGGGGTGGGGCAAGGCGGAGAGGAGGGAGGGGGCGGTGGACAGAAACAAGCAGAGGCAGGTGAAGCAGAGACAGGACAAGCAGCAAAAGGAGCAGCAGGAGAAGGGACGAGGGAAGGGGCAGGGGGAGAAGGGTTAGGAGCGAGAAGGGTGAGGCGAGGGACAGGGGGAAAAGTCCCAATGGGGAAGGGGAAGATGGGTGGTAAACAGAGGGCGGTGGCACGAGGGAAAGTGAGGGGTGGGGAAAGAGGAAAGCAAAGAGGGGGAGCAGGAGGTGCAGGGAGTGGAGGGGAACGAGGAGGTAATGAGGCAAGGGAGGGAGCACGAGCAGAAGCAGGAGCAAGGGAAGGTAGAAGAGCAAGAGGAAGTGGAGAGGAGGCAGCAGGAGGTGACACAAGAGGAGGTGGAGGAAAAGGTGACTTGGCAGGTGCAGGTGAAGCGGCTGAGGGCAGTGCATCCATTGCAGCTGCTGGTCGCCCAGTCCCCACACCTGAAGCACCTCCCCTTGCCACCCACCGCGCTGCTTACAGGCCTCCTAGGGATTCACCTGTTGGGAATTCACCTGGTGGGGATTCACCTGCTGTGGATTCACCTGCTTGGATTACACCTGGTAGGGATTTACCTGCTGGGAATTCACCTGGTGAAGATTCACCTGGTGAAGATTCACCTGGTGAAGATTCACCTGGTGAAGATTCACCTGGTGGGGATTCACCTGGTGGGGATTCACGTGCTGCTGCACATGTGAGGGAGGGAGGAGGAGTGGAGGCTGCAGCAGGTGGGGTAAGGGAGCGTGCGAGTGCGGAAGGGGAGGGAGAGGGTGGGAGCGAGGAGGGCAGAGGGGGAGTGGGCAGTGAGGGTAGAGAGCAGGGTACGTGTGGTGTGGCAGGTGGCAGTGGCATGTGTTATGTAGACTCTGAACCTGCTGCAGCCTTCCAAGGTGATGCTGTCAGTCCTTCTGCTGCAGCTCATAATGATGCTGTCTCAGTGGCTTCTGCTCATGCTGCTGCTACTGCGGCGGCTGTTGCTGATGCTGCTGCGGCGGCTGCTGCTGTTGATGAGGCTACTGACACTGCTACTGCTGATTCTGTTACTGACGGCACTCATGTTCCCCCTCCTCCCCCTCCTCCTCCTGCTGCTGCTGCTGTTGATGCCACCACAACTGCTGCTGGTGACGGCAGCACATTGGCTGCCGCTGATGCCACCACAACTGCTGCTGCTAATGACGCTGAGGCTTAATGGGAAAGGGAGGGTGACAGTGGACTTGGGGAGGAGTTTGGGTGGCTTGAGGCGAGCACATGAGCACAGGGTGGGTGCAGAGGGTTGGAGATGTGGGTGGGAGAGGCGTGCTGGGAAGAAAGCTCAGACGGTCAGAAAGGCGTGCAGGTGCAGGCAGGGATGGTTAGATGGCAGCAGGTGCAGGCAGGGATGGTTAGATGGCAGCAGGTGCAGGCGGGGATGGTTAGATGGCAGCAGGTGCAGGCGGGGATGGTTAGATGGCAGCAGGTGCAGGCGGGGATGGTTAGATGGCAGCAGGTGCAGGCGGGGATGGTTAGATGGCGGCACTCGCTGGAGGGGATGTTGGCGATGTGTCAAGTTGCAAATGTGCAGCTGCTGGGGGGTTATGACATACTGGATTCTAAAGGGGCATGGAGAGCGGAACGAGGCAAACATGGGAGAAAGGTAGAAGTGAAGGTACTAAAAATCTCATCAGTTAATGGGGGGTGAGATGCACCTACTCTACATATATCCCTTGGTCTTGCTTCCATAGCACATATGCTAAACAGCTGTTTTGCTTTGCTACCGCGAGCTAGTATACGGTATTTGCTTCTCAAAAACTGAGTTCGGCAAGGGTTACGCAACACGTGATGACTGTTATGAGTTGTACTAAGAAGAGTGCGCGGAAGACTTTATAAAAAGGATGTCGAATACAGAATGTCAAGAATGATAAAGAAGCGAGCATTTATAGGGTCTAAACCGTGCTAGGCGAGGACCTCGATGTGCGTGGCTCGGGAATGTCGCAATTGGTGCGGGGCGACTCGGGGCTGGTTCGGTACGAAAGTGTAGGCCGAGCCCAAACTGACGCGAACAGTTCGGGCTGTCCTCGCTAGGAACAGCCTCTACAGTAATGAATTCTAATTCATTACACTCTAAAGAAGGCACCTTATACTTAGGCGAGTCTGGCAGTAGCGTAAAAACTGCAGATCTCGGTCGAGAACCAATCTGACGGCGCGGAAGCGTTGTTGACTTTCGAGTTGACGCGTGGCTGAGCGCGTTGACCAGGCAAAATTCAAAGAGTTGGAATGTCAGCCGTAGATTTTGCCGATGTCGATCGGGCGGTTGAAAGCGAATGTCGTTTGGAAATCGGTCGACGAAGGAAAGCCGTCGATGTCGCAGACGTGTATCGGACGGTATAGATGAACGTAATGTCGGCGGGAAGTCTGACACGATGTCAGAGGGCGATGAGCAGAAGCCGGCGATGCTGTTGAAATTGATCTCGGGCGTCCCTCGTGCTGCTCGAGCCTGACAGAAGTGTCAGAGACTGCCAAGGGAATACTGTGCGACAGCACTCTCTTCCCCCCCCCCCCTCTTTTAAAAATGACTGCCCACCAGAAAGTGCACAGCTGCGCGGGCACAAAACCCCAACCACCCTGACGACGAGGGTAGAGCAGAATACCAAGTATATAAACTCCCGCCTGAAAATCAGCCACTGTGCTGTCGAAATTTCTGTTGGTGGCGGAATCCTTACTGTCGAAACCCCGAAAAATGCCGAGGGTAAACACTGTCGAAATCCCTTCGAAAGGAGATCGTTTTTGCAGGGACTCAGCATTAATAAAATCTTCTTGTTGTCTTCTTTTTCTTGCGAAAAACTCCCGGGCAGGGGCGAAAACAGCTGCTGTACTCCCCCCTGACCGTTGCAACACATTTTCCAACCTTGAACTGGAATTGCCGATGACGTCAGCTGCAATGTCGGCGTTGTCGTGACTCGCCGAGGACTTCGGGGCAGAGGCGAAAAAGCTGTCCTTTCTCCCCCCACCTGTTGCGATAATTTTCACCTGTGCTGCGGCTGGGACCCCTGAAACTCCACAGATTTTGCCGTCAAGAAGTTCACCACGGCAGTTTTCGCGCGCTTATCCCAGCGCCGCTGCAACTCCGCCGTTTTTTTACGAAATTGTCGGCCGTCACCGCCGACTCCTGTAAAACCGAGACTCGGTATTCTCCGTAAATGTCGGTGCCGGAAATTCTTATACGTCTTAGTCACCTGCAGGTTATCCCCTTGAAGAACCGGTGTATCTAGCGTGCCCACCCATCGTCATTTTAAAATATTGCGGTTAATCACACTAGCAACCCACCAACAGGAGGTTCTGTTTGTGCGGAACCCAGAACTATAGGTCTACCGGGACCAAATTTCACGGAACCTAGCCCGCATCAACGCCGCAGATCTCGCTGTAGAATTTCCCCAGATGGCTTCGAAGTACACCATAAAACGCAGAAACGTGTCAAGCAGACATTCACCCGTCTCCCACCGTAGGAAAGGACCCCGAAAATCATGGTTGTTGAAGCAGTCCCGAAGTATTTTCCGCCGCGTAACCCCGACGTTTCCGCCGTTAACCCTGGTACTCCGACGTTCACCCGTCTTCGCACTTGTCGAAATTACTTAGCGAATCCCAGGTATCCTTGGCGATACACCGCTCGCCGCGCCTCCATGTAACGATATCAAACCCTTTCGGGGGTCTACCGAATAGACTCCGAAATTCGCGGTGGATTGGTGTACGGGCTCAACCTTTCACTCTGGAGATCTGCTGGAGCACCCACAAATTTCCCTCCATTTGTTTTTTGTCTTCACCCCCACAATTTCGCTTGCCGCCGTTCACCCAGCGTCCGCTTTTGTCGGATGAGGTATAACTCCGTGTTGCCCGCGATTTTTCTGACATTCGGTGAAGGCGCGAACGCTATCGTAGCCGGATCAGGTTTATCGGATCAAACCGTCGGGCCGGCCGCTTCGTTTGCCCACCGCGTCTATCACTTTTAAAACTCCACAGCTTCGGAACCCCTTCTCCACCGCTACACCGTCGTCGGGTAGACCGTTGAATTAGGAGAAACTCCGACAGCTGCACCAACTGCTTCAGTTCCGACTTTTTCGGCGGGGTAACTGCTGCCGATGGTCCGGTTTTGTCGGGGCTGAAACAGTGTCGCAACCTTGAAAATTTCTTGTACGCCCAGCTGTCGAACTGGCGCAATACCCGCGCTTTTTAGCCAGCACAGGGCTAAACACAGGGCCCCACCTTTGGATCCAGTGGCTCTTTGGTCTTACAATTGCCTTCGAGGCCTTCTGGGCGTGAGGTATGTGAAACGTTCGGAAACCTCGGCCGGTAGTGGTACCCATCCGGCTACCGCCGCTTAGCTGCAAACGTTTAGGCATCAGCTTTAGCGTTTCCCCGTGGATCGTAATTCTCGCCTTCTGAAGCTCGAAACCCGTTTCTCTAGCTAAACCCGAACTCGACGCAACTCCGTGTATTGTAGCCGGTAGAACCCCCGAAAATCGCGGGTCTAAACACTGCGCCGAAACGTTGTCCCGCTGGTGTACTGCCCTGTCTTCGACGCAAATACCCTTGATCAGGGGGTACTGTGCCGCCTGAAGTACCGTGTCGGCCGCTGCTATTGCTCCGAAAATTTCGCCGATCGTGGTGCAGGTGCAGCAGTGACCCTAGCGATAGACTGTCTACTCGTAGGCGGATTTTTCCGATCTTTTCGGTGGCTTGAAATACAACTTCCGTCCCACACTGTGCCGCTCCTACCGAACGACGCACCCTCCTGCAGCCACACCAGCCGCACCCGGGCAGAACGACGGTAGACCCCCGCTTTCTTCGGGCAGTCGTCACGCCGTCTCTCCTCGCCGTCGCATTTTCCGACGCAAATCACCATGCGCCTGGCCTGCCCGGCCAGCTGTCGTTTCTGCCGTGAAGCCACCCGAAATCTTCGCACACAGTGACGACGATCACACGTGCCGAAGACTCCGAATTTCTCGTGCGCAACGTGGCGACGCCACGTGCCGCACGCATTCACTCCGAAATTGTCGCGCGCAGTTGTCGGCCACGTGCCGACGCAGCTCGCACGCCGATTGTCTCCGTCGATCTCGGACGTGCAGTGACGACGGTCCCTTCGACGTCAGCTGCCACACAGCGTTAACTCTGAAAATGACGAAAACGCCCTGCAAGTGACTTACGCATTAAATGCGACGACAGCAAAAGCTGTCCGCCACCCTTGGACGGAGGCCACGGTCAATCCCGACCGTCGAGGGCAAGGATCCGTCGGTGCCGGTAGGAGCGCCAGCGAAATTCATGGCCGCTAGGAGCAACTACCCGTTCTCCTGGCCGGCTACTGCGCTACTCCTGTCACCACGGCTATTCCTTCACGGCATCCCCCGAGGGGTAATACACTCTAAAAAACGGGGAACCTAGGAACTTAGGCTCTGATACCAAGTGTTATGAGTTTTACTAGACAGAGTGCGCGGAAGACTTTATAAAAGGATGTCGAATACAGAATGTCAAGAATGATAAAGAAGCGAGCATTTATAGGGTCAAAATCGTGCTAGGCGAGGACCTCGATGTGCGTGGCTCGGGAATGTCGCAATTGGTGCGGGGCGACTCGGGGCTGGTTCGGTACGAAAGTGTAGGCCGAGCCCAAACTGACGCGAACAGTTCGGGCTGTCCTCGCTAGGAACAGCCTCTACAGTAATGAATTCTAATTCATTACAATGACAAACAGAGTTTCGAGTTTCTCGACTAATGATCTTTCTGGGTTTTACATGTACAAACGACTTTACAAATGCCATCACAACGAAATAAAGAATCGCCTTCAAACGGAAAATTTGCTCCAGTCGAAATCAGATCACCGACTGCGCTAGGAACGCAATTCCAGATGCCAGTTGCCTGTGACCTACACCTAAATATGGAATGACCTATCGCGATTCCAGCTTGTTCGCAAGAAATGATCCGCCAGACTCCTTCACACACGGCACATACTAGTCACGAAGTACGAGCCCGAATCATACGCAATGCCACGCCTAACATTCGCTTTCCCCAGCCTGCCGCGTGGCCACGCGGCTCGGCAAATCATGTCGCCGCAGCTTGCGTTCTCCTCTCCCTCGCGCTCACCGCCGCCAGCGCTACGTGCTCCGTTTCCACCGCCGCCGCTGATCGCCCACTGCCGCTCCGACATGCCCCCCGTCCGTCCAAACAGCGCCTGCTGTCTCGCGCTCGACCCAGCCGCACCCGACGCTCGCTCCTAAAGCTCGCTGCCGCGACCAGCTCCGGCGCCGCCGCGCCCCGCGGCTTGGAAGCGACTGGAGCGAGCTCTGCAGGACCCGTCGTGTTGGACAGCTCGCAATGTGAGTTCGATTTGTCCCAGTTGAGGTTCTCCGTGACATATCATCCCCCCACTCGGCACTGGGAGCTTCACCTTAGCGCAGACAGAATTGCGCGCGCTCAAGCAGGCCACCGCTTCAAAGTGCGTCGCACCGCACCGCTGCGCATGTGGCGGCAGTGAAGGCGCTGCCCTTTTTTTGCGTGAAACCGCCCACCCCACACTTCCCCGTTGTGCAGGCAGTGAGGGCGCTGCTGCAGCTGAAGCAGGCGTGGGGCATGGGCGGGCAACAGCACGGCATGACTGCGTGTCTTTCCCCCCTCTCCCCCTCCCAATCGCATGAACCATTTCCTCATTGTGCCGGCAGTGAAGGCGCTGCTGCAGCTGAAGGAGGCGTGGGGCATATGGGCGGGCAACAGCAACGCCACCACTGTGTGTCTTTCCCCCCTCTCCCTCCCAATCGCATGAATGTGGCCACATTTCCCCATTCTGCTGGCAGTGAGGGCGCTGCTACAGCTGCAGGAGGCGTGGGGCATTTGGGCGGGCAACAGCAACGCCACCACGGCGTGCTCGGCATGGGCTGGCGTCACCTGCAGCCCCAGAGGGCTCGTTGTCTCCCTGTGAGTCCCATTGCCGCCGCTCGCTGCCTTCGTTCCTCAATACCCTATTTTTTGCTCCGTGCTGTGTTGCCCTCGTTGCCCCAACTGCCCCTCGTTACTCTGATTGCATCTAACCGCACACCTTGGAATATTCCCCCCGTATAGGCAGTTAGGGCACAGGGCGTTGTACTGTTATCTAGACCCTTGGGTTCGAATCCAGCTGGCCACGTTTTCTGCCCCACCAAGGTGTAACGACTAGTTGAAAGGAGAAAAGGTCCCTGCAGAACCAACTCCTTGATCTAACGAGGACGTTGGCTGGCACCACGGCTGGACTGGGCGTCTGCGGACTTTACACACAACTGAAATAGCCCCCGTTTTGGCCCTGCCTAGTCTATGGCACCGGGCGTTATATCGTCCTCGTTACCCCTCAGTCGCCCTCTGTGCTCTTTCCCCCACTGCATATCGTTCTCCCTCTGGCTGCTCCTCTTGCATTACTTGTGTACTGATTTCAAATGGGCTGGATTTTGTGTGCGTGTGGGAGCATCAAAATACGGATGGGGAGGGGGAAGGGTTGAAAGTGGAGGATGTGGGTGGTGGGATGGGAGAGAACTGGGGTGGGAGTCGGGGGAGGAGTGGGAGCTGGTATTGCGTGTGCGTGCGTGCGTGTGTTGTGTTGGCAGGGATGCAAGCCAATTCGTTAAGGATTCTCCCCAAAGTGCCTCCATACCTGCCTCCATCACCAGTCTTGCCGCTCTGCATTACCTGTGCGTCACCAACCATTCACCCTCTCCTACCACTCCACTACATCCATACTGCATTGCTTGCACAATGTATTTCTTTCGATTTCCATGCCCTCGCCCCAACCTTTTTATGCTCCGTCCATCCTTCCATCTCGCTCCAAGCTTCCAATATGCCATAACTGTTACAACTGACCATACCATTCCACACGTTACATCTGACCAGACCATACCATCCTCTTCCTGCCCTTGCGAGCCTCCCCTTGTGCACTAGACCACAAGCTGTAGTCGTTTTGAAGCCATAGATCTCAAGACCACTCAAGACTCCTTTATATTTTTCTGTGCTCTCTCCACTGCTGTTCCCTGCACCCCCATCCCATCCCACAGTGATCTGACCAACTTTGATCTGGAGGGGCCCATTCCATCCCTCGCCACTCTCACTGGCCTCACCCACCTGTGAGTGCTGCTCGTCCATGCCCCATTCGGACGTGGGCCCAACCAATATGCACCTTCACCATCACCCTCTTCACTCCACCTGACCCCCTGATGCTGCACTCGCCAGTTCGATCGTTGTTCCCAGCCACTTCCCCTTCCCAAGGCCGCCGGACCTAGTAGGTCCTTTTCTTCCTTAAATTCACCTTGTGCCTCCTCTTTTACTTCCTGTCCCGTGTCTCGTGCCATTCATTACCAATCGCCCTTACCAGTAATCTCAGCGCCACTTTTAATTTCCTGTTTTCTCCTACGCCCTGCATCTGTGGCATGTGTTTACATTTCCCACTGAATGTGCCACCTGCACCTTGCATGCATTCTGTTGCTGTTTGCATGCCACGGGTGCCCTCAGAGCGATTGGGCCGCTTGACGGCAGCAGGCTGACGGGCACTCTGGACGGACTGGCTTGGCTCTCCTCCCTCACCAACCTGCACACACTGTACGCCCTGCACACACTGTACGTCCTGCACACACTGTAAGTCCTGCACACACTATACGTCCTGCACACACTGTACGTCCTGCACACACTGTACGTCCTGCACACACTGTACGTCCTGCACACACTGTACGTCCTGCACACACTGTATGTCCTGCACACACTGTACGTCCTGCACACACTGTATGTCCTGCACACACTGTATGCCTTGCAGACACTGCATGCCTTGCAAACTGTACGCCTTGCAAACATTGTTCAGCCTACAAGCAATGTTGGCCCTTGATGCAGTCAATGCCACCATTACTCGACTTTTCACTTTGCCATCCACCATGCTGCATGCGACATCGTTCCAGCATGCCATGCGAAACCCCCATGCTCTTATCCTACACCCTTCATGGCTATTCCCATGCCTCACGTCCCTCTCATCATCCAGGAGTCTACAGCAGTTCATGGCATTCACTGGGGACTTGTCCTCCCTGCATGTTCTTTCTCACCTGAGAAAGCTCCAGCAGCTGTAAGCATCACTGCAGTGTAAGAGCGTATTATAGTCGCTTCCTGCTCTTATTCTTAAACTGCATGTCACCATATGAGGTGGTCTATACCAGGTCGTAACAGGCAATGGTCGTGCGCTCACTTGTGCTGAGTACGTGTGCATGAGTGCAGGGAGCTCATCGAGTTCACCAACGCCACAGGGGAGATTCCCCGAGAGATTCAATACATGACTGCCCTCACTGCTCTGTAAGCTTCATGTCATCAAGTCCAAAGGTGGGACAGATGAAGCAAGCTTGTTATTGTGCACGATCACCACCTCTCCATCCCCTTGCCATACACGGCTGCAACGCTATTGGCTTGTCTATGTGACATGCTCTTGCTGTCCTCCCTGCAGGGATCTAGCCTTCCTTCCTGCTGTGGAGTTCCCCAACTGGGTCACCCAGCTCTTCAAGCTTCAGTATCTGTGAGCTGCTCCCATTTTACTCCCCTTCTCCACCATTGCCACATGTGGCACACTGTATCCCCTACTAGGCATGACGAGAACCACATGTGCCAACCAACCATGACAGTGATTGGACTTGTCTCATTGCGGGTGACTCCTGCCGGCCATCTCTGGTGCGCAGGAACCTGGAAACGGACGATCCACACCGGCAGGGGCGACTGCTGAATGACGACATCTCAGAGCTCACAGCACTCACCGCCCTGTGAGTGTATGCATGCATGGAAGTGCAGCAAGCATGCCTTTTCAAAGTTATCCATATAGTAGTATATATCCATTTATATTTTGACTGTAAATTGTGAAAGACTTGGGTCTCTATCTAAATATTTCGTTTAAGGCTAGTACTGCTTGGGTGTTGGATAAGCACATGATGAATGCTAGTTCGTCTCAGTTAAATGCACCATGGCCCACCCACGGCATCTCAATTGTTTTCTTGCTTCATCACCACCGTCCTCGGTAGGGCAAAAAAGCACTCGCGACTCCTGCCGTAGAATCTCAAACAGCCATCTTTCGCCTACTCTCACACTGTGCAGGTCCCTCAGCGGAAACAACCTGGAAGGGTACCTGCCCAAGACCTGGACCAACCTGGTCAATCTGCAGTCGCTGTGAGTCATTGCCTCCTATGCCATCCTGCCTTCCTGCCATCCTGCCTTCCTGCCATCCTGCCTTCCTGCCATGCTGCCATCCTGCCATCCTGCCATCCTGCCATGCTGCCTCGCAGTGGCTCTACCATGGTGCCATGATGGCTCACTGACTTGCTGCAAGCAGCAGCGTGAACCCCATTGCTGTTGCACCATGCCAGACATGAGCGTGCCTGTGTTCGCCCCAACATTTTTGTGTTTGACATGTGCTCCTTGGAAAAGCCCCCCGAGACCTCGGTCAATTCGACGGGAAACACTTGTCGATCTATTTTTTTTAACGCGAATTTCGCCTTATTCCCCTCCCACAGCCCAGACCACACGCTCCACCTGCTAGTATACCTATACTTCAATGAAATAGTTTGGTGAACCAAACTCTAATCTCTTTGTCAACTTTAGGGTTGGCGCCTATAGGTGATTAATGCGCTTTAGGGCGTTTCCTTCACTTCCAAACGCCCACCAGGTTTAGCCACACCTCCCTGAACGTTGTAATCCAGCTTCACGCATCATGCGACTTTAACGAAGGCTTGTGAAGTGTGTGGGTGGGGTGATGGGACGCGCTTTTTACACGAAAAAGCAGTGCGGCATGTACTTCTCTCAAAGCCTATCCTGGTCATCCTCCCAGTGACCGCAAGAAGGACACACTCGTTCTATGCCTGCCTCCCTTTTTTGTCAGGCTATTAAGAAACAATCGGTTTCAAGGAACCATTTCAACAACATTCTCAGCCCTGACAAGCCTAACTGAAATGTAAGTTTGCTGTTTCTTGTCCTTCCTGCTGCCCATCATCAAACCCCCACTCTATGCTTTTCCATACCCCTCGTGCCTTCCTCGCTCAGTACACCTGTTGTTCTGCCCCCCTCTCCTGCAGAGACCTTTCAGGGAATCATCTGTCTGGTACAATCCCCCCTGCCTTCGCCACCAGCATCCAGTCAATGTATGCCACTCTTCCCTCCACTTCCTGCCCCGCCTTTTCAAGCCTAACTCCATTATTTACTTCCTGTACCTTCACGTTTTAGTACATTTTAATGAGTCACCTCCCATCTTTCCCTCATGCATTCCCACCTGATCTGTTTGCCTTTGCCTCGTTGGACCTTGTGGGAAATGAAGTTTGAAGAGAATGGATGATTAGATTAGGAATAGCTAGGGTTTACATAGTTGGAGAGAAGGGTGGAGGTGGCCAACATTATTGGAGGCCCCCAATAAGATGGGTGGGAGATTATTGGTGGGCCTCCAATCATGTTGACCACTTTGAGTTGGGTCAACATTATTGGAGGGGGGGAACCAATAATGTTCCCAACCCAACCTTTGGGGTCCAATAATTTGGGCAAAAGGTTGGGTCTCAACTCCAACATTGGGTTAACCCTAGATATACACCCAACCTAAAGTTGGGTGCTTATCTCTACCCGATCTTGATAGGATGAATGCAGGTTACAACAAAAGTATATTTCTAACACAACCTCTTAACCTGCAGAAATGTAAAGATCGATAGAGACAGAGGGTCACAACCCCTGAATCAAGGAGCGCCGAGGGGAGCAAGGCCGATAAGGCGAAGAAGAACAAAGTGCGCAGGACGGAGAAGCGCCTTGGTGAAGATATCGGCTAAGTTTGCCTCGGCGGCAATCTTGCGAACAGAAATGAGTCCTTTCTGGACCAAGTCACGGATGAAGAAGTAACGGAGCTCGATGTGTTTAGAGCGGCCGTGGAAAACAGGGTCCTGGGTGAGGTAGATGGTGCTGGCATTGTCACACCAGAGGGTGGGGCAGTGCTTAGGAGCGCCGAGCTCAGCAAGGAGAAAGCAGAGCCAGCGGGATTCCTGAGCGGCCATGGTGCCGGCGTAGAGCTCAGCTTCACAGGCGGAGAGTGCAATGGCGGAGGAGCGCGTGGAACGCCAGCTGATAAGGCCGCTGCCAAGCGTAAAACTGTATCCCTGAGAGGAGCGGTGATCTGGTTGCGAGTCTGCCCAGGAGGAGTCGCTGAAGCCAGTGAGGAGAGGAGGAGAGGAGCCACCAAGGGTGAGGGCATGGTCCTTGGTTCCGCGGAGGTAGCGGTGAACCGTTCGGCGATTGCCCAGTGCTCCTCAGTGTGGCGGCCGGTGCCGACAAACCGAGCAAGGACACTGATAGGATAGGCGAGGTCGGGGCGTGTGCACATCATGGCATACATCAACGTCCCGATGAGCTCGGCATAGGGGCGAGAGGAGGAGGAAGGAGAGGTTGGTGGTGCAAGTTGAAGACCGAAGCGGAGGGGGGTGGAGATGGGTTTGGCTTGCGCCATCTCGAACTTTTCCAACACCTGGCCGAGGTAGTGAGACTGGGAGAGGGTGATGGTGCGGGCGGATCGGTCATGAGTGATAGTCATGCCGAGGTAGTTGTGCAGGTCACCAAGGTCCTTGCACTTGAGGTGTTTCTGCAGGGACTGTTTCACCTACTCCATGTCGGTTTCGGAATCAGCCTGCAGGATCATATCGTCAACGTAGACAAGTATGAAGAACCGACGGGGCGAGGAGCGGATGAAGAGGCTGGCATTACAATGGGACGCGGAGAAACCAAGGGACCGTAGAGTGGCGGACAGTTTCGCATGCCAATCCCGTGGTGCCTGCTTCAGACCGTAGACCGGGCGGCATAGTTGCCAGACTGTGTTGGTAGGGAAGGCAGCATGGAATCCGGGTGGTCCCCGTAGGAAGATGCGCTCGTGCAGTTCGCCTTGAAGGAATGCGTTAGAGACATCCATGGAGCACATCTCCATGTTGTCTCGTGCACCGACGTTGAGAAGTGTGCGAAGAGTGGGCGGTTTGGCAGTGGGGGCGAATGTAAACCAGTAATCCTCGGCCCAGGTCTGGGTGAAGCCCTTAGCAACGTAGCGGGCCTTGTAGACTGGTTCCTCTTCCGGCAAATGCTTCACGCGAAAGATCCACTTGCCCTCGACAAGGTTGCGTCGGGGGGGGAGGGGAACGTCGACAAAGGAGTCGTTGCGAATGAATGCCTCACATTCCAGGAAGATGGCTGCAATCTACTTGTCAGCATCAGGGCAGGTGATGGCCTCCTGGAAGGTGGAGGGGACGAAGATGGTGGGGGCTGAGACGGCGCTGAGGACAAGAGCACCACGAAAGTTAGGGTAGAGCGGGGCGAGGGAGGGAGTGTGCTGCTGGACCGTAATAAATCCATGGGAATCTTCAAGGAGGTTGAGGGAGGTAGTAGACGGGGTGCCAAGGATGGGATCAAGGGAGCGAGTATGCATGCGAGGGAGGAGGAAGGGTGAGGAGCGAGCAGTAGCTCTCCGTTGCTGCTGCTGCTGATGCTACTGGAGCACCTGCTGCTGCTGCTGAGGCTGCTGCTGCCGCTGGTGCTGCTGTTGCTGCTGTGGATGCTGCTGGAGTCCTTGCTGCTGCAGCTGTTGCTGTGGAGACTGGTGCCGCGACTGCTGCTGCTGTGAGTGCTGCTGCTGCTGCTGATGCTGCTGAGCCGTCGACTGCTCCTGCTGCCGCTGCTCGTGCTCCCGGTACTGCTGCTGCTGCTGCTGCTGCTGCTGCGACTGTTCCTGCTGTTGTTCTGGCAGTGGCTGCTGCGGCTGTTGGGGAGGAGGGGAGGAGGGGGAGGGGGCAGTGGAGTGGGCCGGTGACGCAGGTGCAATTGGATCGTAGATGTTAGCAGAGGAGGGCGGAGGGAGTGGAACAGGGAGAGGCGGGAGAAGGGGTGCGGGGGGGAGGGGGGAGGGAGGACGGTGTCAGTCCAAGTGAGGGGACGAGAAGGGGCGGGAAGGGGGTCAGGTGGAGGGGTGGAGTAGTAAGGGATGGACTCGTGAAAGACGACGTCGATGCTGCGGATGAGGTGTCCTGAGGGAGGATGGAGGAAAAGATAGCCGGTTGAGTCGCGATTGTGACCGAGGTAGACACATTCTAGGGCACGAGAGGCAAGTTTGCCGTTGGTGCGGTCATGAGGAGGAATCAGAACGTATGCCTTGCAGCCCCAAACACGGAGGCCTGCAGCGTCAGGCTTGGTGCCGGACCAGAGCTCCGTGGGGGTGATGGTGGTGTGTTGGGGATGGGGGTGAAGGTAGACATAAGCATACAGACGAGCCTTGACTCGGCTTGACAGGCTCGGCTCGGGTTACCGTCGAGTCGAGCCTTCTTTTTTGTCCCTCTGTCTCGGGTCGAGTCAAGTCGAGCATGTCTCGTCGAGCCGGGCGAGCCGCTCGGCTCGACGAAGCAATTTCGGCGAGCCAGGGATGGCTCGCGAGTCAATATGACTCGTTGCGAGCCTTTCGTTGGCTCGTCGTTCCTATGCGATCTTGATTGTAATCGATACGTTTGTTTTTGTGCGTTAATCGCGTTGCTAGTCGTAGCAAATGCCCTTCGTAGCATACTAATCAGCTCATCCCTAGATCGGGAATAGTGTCCTATTTCATCGGGGAGGGAGATGCACAGTGACTTGAACTGCGGAGACCAATCTCAGCGACAAATCGACGAGTAACATGCAGGCGAGAAATAGGCGAAACCTTTTACCAATCTCTGTGACACGTGCATTCCATAGGGGATGCGAATTTGATGTGAGATGTCGTCAACTCTTGACAGGTTTTCGCATATTTGAAAAATTAGTTCCTCAACGCGTTCGCCAACATTCTGTATCCAGCTTCGTTGAGCTGGATTTGTTCGCTTATCCCACAGCAGGCTCCCCAACCCCAACTTTCCTTTCCCCGAATTCGTCAAAATTTTGCGGGTTCAAATTAGGGTTACTGTGTCAGAAATTTGAAAAGCACTGTTAGATCTGATTGTTCAACAACCTCACGCGTGTTTCCGTTTCGTGCCTACTGGGAATTTTCTATAGCATTCTAAACGTAGCGGCTAGGCAGCAATAAACTGGATCTGAAGTCGTTCGACAACCTCGCGTCGTGCATGTTTCCATTCCTTCTTCGTGATCCTCTATAGCAGGCCAATCATAGCAGCCAGACATCATAACGGGTTCTGATGTATTATTGCCAGAATCTCACGCGCGTTTCTGTGCCTCGATATGCGCGTTTTAGTGCCTCTCAAGGTGCGTTTCCGTGCCTCGCTAGGCACATTTTCGCGCCTCGCTATGCGCGTTTTCGTGCCTCAATTGGTGCGTTTTCGTGCTTCCCTAGGGCCATTTACGTGCCATTTGAGCATATGTGACTGCTTGAGTCGAGCCTGGCTCGACTCGTCACAAGCCGATGTGGCTCGACCCAAGCCCTTAAGTGGCTCGGGTATGATACCCAAGCCACGAGCCAAGTTAGTTCACAAATCGGCTCGGCCTGGCTCGACTCGACTCGGCTCGAGGTTAAGGCGAGCCACAGCCGGCTCGAGTCAAGCCTTGCTCGACTCGTCCTGTGCTCATGTCTAGGTGAAGGTTGAGGAGGAGGGTAGCATGGAGTAAGGCATAGCCCCAAAGAGAGAGAGGGGTGGAGGCGTGAGCAAGGAGACAGCGGGCAATTTTAGTGATCTCGCGAATGCGGCTTTCTGTGACACCGTTTTGCTGTGGGGAATGGGGGAAGGTACAGTAGTTGGAGAGAGTGTGATTGAGAAATTCGCCTCCTTTGTCGGAGTGAAGGCGGCCGATGGGACGCTTAAAGTGGGTGCGACACTACTCAGCCCAGGTGATGATCACAGTTGGTGCTTGGTCCTTTGTATGGAGGAGGAAAATGGAGGAGTAGCGGCTGTGATCGTCAACCAGGACGAGCATGTAGCGATGACCCTGGCGTGAGCGGGTGGGGGAAGGACCCCATAGGTCCATGTGGATGATGTCGAGTGGGGCGGGAGCGAAGGAGGGATGGCTGTGATGAGGGGATTGTTTGAGTTTTCCGTGGATGCATGAGGGGCATGGGGGAGCGGGGGAGGAGGGAAGGGGAGGAAGGGTGGGGGGGAGGCTATGGAGGAGGCGGAATGTGACGGCTGTGCGAAGGGCTGCAAAGTTGGGATGG